TCAGACTATAGTCCTCGACAACCGATATTGGCATTCGGTTTTCATAGAAAAGCGAGCCTCTTACTTACAAGTTCAGTAACTGGTTAGTCATCTTGGTTATTCGTTATAAATTCTCAAGAAAAATAATAAACAAAACCGTAAGAGTGGTGGAATGTACATAGTTCTATTTTCAATTTACACCCTTTTAGGCAATTCTTTGTTTGAAGTTCATTGTTGGTGATGGTGAGTTAATGTTGTTCAAAGGTTTATTGCGGACATTTTCCATCACGATTGTAAAAAACAATACACGACGTTTCAGGATCTGGAATCTGATCCCGTCCTCAGGTGGAAAAACTTGTGTTAGTACTGTACTGTACTGTACTTACAATATACAGTGTGTAGTTTTGTAAACTAACACATTACAACTTACAATACACAAACGCCCAACCTAAGTTGGAATACACTACAGAAGGTAGCAGTAAAAAATATGCACTGTATAGCAGTCAATTCATGATACAACATGCAAATAATAACGAATCACAAAACGTTACACCTTTTATAGATTATAGTGTTTTGTGATTGGTTATTATTTGCATGTTGTATCATGAATTGACTGCTATACAGTGCATATTTTTGACTGCTACCTTCTGTAGTGTATTCCAACTTAGGTTGGGCGTTTGTATATTGTTAGTTGTAATGTGTTAGTTTAGTTTTTTTCACCTGAGGACGGGATCAGATTCCAGATACCAAAACGTTGTGTATTGTTTTTTACAATCGTGATGGAAAATGTCCGCAATAAACTTATAGGAACGGTATTATTCGTTCTTGAAGATTTTGTACGCTTCGCTTACCTTTATTATTGTATGTTGATATCGGGAAATTGTTACATACAGTTACAGATACGTATATATACTCACACGCAACTGTCATGGACATGAGGTTCTGAACTTGATCTCCAGGACGATTGTGTTCGATGTGTGTCAAACTGTATATGACGAGCCTTGGATATCACCAGACAATAATTATATTGTTTATTTGTTATGTAGAGATTTACATACTTCATCCACGATATTTTGTGCAAATAAACTGGCAAAGTTTACCAATCTTTATGGCACAAGTAAACAACATCTCAAAGGATATACTCATCTATTATTTATGTCTAAAAGTGTGATTAGAGCATTGCAATCCATAGTATTATATGACTATTAGTACAGAAATATAATTTAACGTCTATGTTGGGGATGATCAATAGCCTGAGCAACAGAAGCAGTTGGCCGACTGCCAGTCTGCCTTACCTCGGCAAAACATTCCTGTATTTATTGGCGATTGGAAAATGGACTGTGTGGGATTTGTACAACTGAATCGTACGTTTCATGAAGATATACTTACACTGAATTAAAGTACCCTATAATATGTACTCAGACCGTATTGGTTAATGGTTTTTATCAGCAGATTTATGCACTACGCTGTAATAATTCTCGCAATAAGTGAATTAATCAAGATTATTCATCATAAGATAATTAATCAGTTGTCATCTTATTTGTTTGTTACGACGGCTATTCGTGGTGTAACATTTATAACTATTGCAGTTGAATATTTATTACTATAACCATAGACAAATAAACTTCAATTACTGAACTTTTATTAATCTTACTTTCGATACTGCAAATGTCAGATCCCCAAAATATTCTGTCAAAAGACCTTTGCCCTCTTACCCTAAATCTCAACCTAAAAGACTTTGAGAGACCTTTCTGAAGTTATTTCAAAGTTAAATAAATAACTATCACAGTTTACAATATTCCCCGCCAAATATAAAATTAGTATAATCCATTATCAGCTTTGCATGCTGCTACGATAATTCAAATAGTCATAAATAATACATACTACAGTACTGACAATATTTATTTCCCCAACCCTCTCATCTTATGTAACTCAAACAAAGCAGCGTTGTCAGCTGCTTTTCAACCCGACAATAAGATTGTTGATTTCCCGATGGGCTCTACTTCCATTTCATCTATTGTTTTTCCAAGGAAATATTTTGTTCAAAATGTAAAAATCAGTAAATAAATAAGCAGAGTACCTAAAATCTAGTATATTTTATAAAATAGTGTATCTAGTATATTCAGTATCAACTTAAGAAGACTTTTACAAAACTGTATAATCTACAGGTGTGACTAATTATTAGTAGGGTATTTACAAAAAAAAGGATATATTATTCCATTAGTAGTTATTGTACAGAATGCAACTTATTTCATCTACGTCCTCCGATCAATAAACGGTACGAATGGGCTCCATGGCTTCGTTGTTCGCTGTTATGAAATGATCACTGTAACTTGTACAAAATGACCTAAATGTTGCAATGACGTTATAAGACCATATATTGGGCGGAACAGTTATTGTTATTTTAGCAAGTTGTTGATCTGGATCTGCTCCAGCCCAGAACATCTGTGTTGGGCGCGGTCCAGGAAGACTTCTGTTGCATTTTCATGTATTACGCTCAAAACCAACTTTAAGCTAGAAACACTATTTCATTCTAGAAAATGTATTTGTGTATACAGTGTTGAAAAGTTTCGATATAATCAGACATGTTTGAGTTGGATGTGTATGACGTTAGAGGTAGGAACGTAATTTGTTAGCATATTCACAAAAGTGCCTTAAGGTTAACGAAATTAAACCTTACACAGGGAATTCTGTGTGTTGGTTCAAGCCAATAAGCAGGACCTTTTTTAATATTAAATAATAATAATATAATATATATTTCTGAAATACCACTGACTGACACAAAATATACTCTTATATTTCACGAAATATAAGACCAAATCATCGAAATATGATAACAGATTGTTTGTGTGTAATCAAGTTATCTCCAAATTTTGCATATCAAATCTTATCCATCTCAAACGTGGAAACATGTATGTAACATTTATAAATTAAAGAAAGCAAGTTTGAATAATGCCTTTACTGAAGATTTGAGAAAAGCCACTTTTATGTGTGTGCATTTATTCCGCTTAGTGTAAACCTCGTAGATACTGTAAAAGTGTAAAGAAATCCTGCGACTAGGGCCTTTTAGGGTTAAAATAATTTTAAGAAATCATCGAAGATTATGCCAGCACTATTTGAAAGAAGCATTTAAAAGTAGGTAAGTAAGGAAGTATCCAAGATTGTTTTAAATTTAAATTCACCAAAAGTTACATAAATAAAGTTTTTATGTAACTACTACTTTAATATATATTTTATACTTTAATAAAGTTGAGGGATACCTGACTGTACTACTGGCAAATTACGGGTATAATTCCAAGTGAACGGAAATACAGTGTGGTTATAATTTTGGTTGAAAACATTATCTAGCTAGTTACAGAAAGAGCAATTTGAAGCTGGTAAGATGATGGTTAATGTTGTAAATGAAAAAAAGGGTTTTCCTTATTTTAATTTCAGTAAACCCATTTTAATTTATTTGGTGAATTTGCCTATATATTAATGGATTAAATCCTTATTAGACGGAAAATTGATTGAACGTAATTTTAGCCTATATCCAAGTCCCTGCTTCAGAGAGGCCATAGTACCGTAGTAATGAATCACAAAATTATGTAGCATGAAGCCGACGGTTAACAGATACTATTAAATAAGTAAACGAAATAAACGCTATCAGCAATCTCACAAATACTGTCTCCCATTAGCTTGCCAACATCCCTTATTATAGGTTAGCGTTGAACAGAATTGTGGTTTAATATGGGCAAACTTGCAATAACTCTTGAATCGTACTTTTTACAGCACTGGAGACTACACCATTCTGTTTAGAATTATTATAAAAACCATAAAAGACTAAACGTTAATCAAAACTAGCCGAGATTATTACGAAAAAAAATCATATTCTTTGTAATTTCAAGGCTTTTTATGGGAAAATCACTTAAGTTGCAATAACCTTTAAACTATACTTTTTACCATAGTAAGGGTTGCACCGTTTTTTTTTTGTTTTTTTTTTAGAGAGAGATAAAAGTACTATTAAATACGATATTTGTATCAAAATCATTTGGGCCATTTTAGAAAATTAGTTCTTGTATTAGGTTTATGGGATTTTCTAGCAAATCACCATCAAAAATCAAAACTTAAAACGTTTAATAAAATTAATCTCTGTAGAGATGAAGATTAGTACCCACATTTAAAATGTCATCACAATCAGACCACAAGTGCGGTTTGAGCTCTGTACACATCCACACATACAGACACACATAAACGCACACAAACATCGCTTTAAAAACCACTCTTTTGGGTTCGAAACACTTGTTGTGCCCTTAAATATATTAAATTAAAACCCATTTTGTTAGAGCCACTTCTTTCATTGTATTTAATAACAAAATCCAAAACTTAAAGTAAACATGAAACAATAATATATCAAACCAGATGACAAGCAAATAAACAAACTATTAATGTAGACCTCAGGACATCTCCCTCTTAAAGTTCTTCTATAAACCTCTTGGCAGGTTTAACAATTCGGGTAGGTCTGTGTATGGTTGAAGAATGATTATGTAGGTTGGATCTTGGTGTATGTGTCTGTCTTGGAGGAAGTGTCTGTGTATGGGGGTTTTCTTTATCAGGATTTTCTCTTTCTCCAGAGGAGAACATAGGGAATAAGAATTTTGAATTCCTGATATATCTTCCTCCCTTTTTTGTTTCAACGTTATATTTCCTGTTCTCTAACTTCTCCTTGATTACCCCTTCTTCTCTTCGGTCCGATACCCAAACTTTAGCGTTTTCTGGGTAATCCTTGACCTGGGTCACTCTATGTCTTTTATTGAACTGTTGTTCCTGTTTCCTCTTTTCTTCCATTTGTCTAAGTCTATATCTATTGTGATTTGGAGTGGCTGGAAGTAGAGTAGCTTTATTCACTGGTAGATTTGTTCTTAAAATCCGTCCCATTAATAGTTGTGATGGGCTATAACCACATTCCTTTGGCGTCGTATTGTATGCCAATAAGCCCAGATGTCTATCCTTACACTTCTTTAATATGTTTTTGAAGATTTTCACACCACTTTCAGCTTGACCATTGCACTGATGATGGTATGGTGAACTAGTTTCCACTGTGAAGTCGTATTCTGATTTGAATAGTTCCCATTCTTCTGATAGAAATTGCACACCTGAGTCTGATCTAATTGACTCGGGGATGCCATGCTTTTCAAACGATGTCTTCATTGATTTAATCAATATTGCCGTTGAACAGTTAGATACCTTATATACATCGATGTATTTGGAATAATAATCCATGAGAATTATGTATTTATCATTGTTGAATTCACAAAAATCTACTCCGATTTTCTGCCAGGGTCTTTCAGGAACCTCTGTAGGAATCATAGGATGGCGAGGAGGCACTCTGTCAGCAATGCATTGCGGGCAATAGGTTACTTTTTGTTCGATGTGATGATTAATTTTGGGCCACCATACTGACATTTTAGCCCTTTCTTTACATCTTTTAATACCTTGATGACCTTGATGAATATTATCTAACATTTCTTTTCTCAAGGATGGAGGAATCACTATTTGATTATTTCTCATAAGTATATCTTCATTGATCGACAATTCTGCTTGATGATCCCAGTATTCTTTTAATCTTTCATTTAATAGGTTCTTATTTTTAGGCCATCCTTGAATTGTAATATCTAACAATTCCTGTAATTCTTCTCTTTGATTTTTTATTATTACATCTAATTTATTAGATGATACTGGGATTGATTGAACTACTGTTCTTACACATGCTTCTGCTTCTTCTGCAAGTTTCTCAATATCTTCCTCTTCAGTTTTGTTGATTGGCGCTCTTGATAACGTGTCGGCAGTTGTTAATTGTTTTCCTGGTACCCACAATATGTCGTACGAATATCTCATTAATCTCATTTTAAATCTCTGAACTCTTAGCGGCAGTTCATCCAAACCCTTACTACTTAAAAGAGGAATCAGAGGTTTATGATCAGTTTGAATTTGAAACTTCAATCCTGTTATAAAATTTTTGAAACGTTCACATGCCCATACTATTGCATAAGCCTCCTTTTCAATTTGTGCATATTTCTGTTGAGTCGGTGTTAAGCTCTTTGATGCGTAGGCCACAGGTTTTAAATGTCCTTGATGTTCTTGTAAAAGTGTTGCACCCAAACCATAAGCTGATGAATCGGCCGAAATTATAGTTCTCCTTTTCAAATTGAATGGTATTAAGGCAGGAGTGGTTTGTAAACTCTTTAAGGCTGTTTTAAATGATTGTTCTTGACTAGGACCCCAAACAAAAGCCCTATCTTTTTTTAGTAGTTCCCTCAGTGGTTGAACGATATCAGCAAGGTTTTCTATGAATTTTCCGACATGATTCAACATCCCTAGAAATCTCCTAACACTTCCCACATCACTGGGTGTGGGGAAATCGATTATTGCTTGTAAGTGTTTGGGATCTGCTTGAATCATACCAGAAGAAATAATGTGACCTAAGAATGAAATCTTTGTTTTTCCTATTTCACACTTGTCATTTAAGGTAACTCCTTCTTTTTCCAATTCTTGTAACACTCGGTCTAGTCTGCTGTCATGCTCGGGTTTACTTTCTCCGGTAATTAAAATATCATCCATATAACACAAAATTCCTGGGATGTCTCCAATAATACTTTTCATCCTGTTACAAAATATTTCCGGGGCTGTTGAAATTCCGAAGGGAAGTCTTTTAAAACAAAATCTACCAAATGGTGTTATAAATGTTGTCAATTTTGAGGAACCCTCATCTAGCGGTAATTGCCAAAACCCCGAATTAGCATCTAATTTTGAATACCATTTGGAATTCCCTAGACATCCAAGTAAGTCCTCAACAGTATTAAAAACGTTATTTTCTCTCTGTAAATGGTTGTTTAAAGCTGAAGGATCAATGCATATTCTCACACTGCCATTAGGTTTAGGTCTTACCACCATTGGATGACACCACTCCGTAGGTCCGCAAACTTCTTCAATGATTCCCGCTTCAACCATTCTTTTAAGTTCATTTTTCACTTTTTCTCTTAGTGGAATAGGTATGTTTCTAGGAGTTTTTAACTCCATCGGTACCGCATTTTGTTTCAGTTTAAGTTGAGCTCCTTTCTTCATCTTACCAATCCCATTAAATAAACTTGGATATTTATTCTTGATCTTCTGTAGGTCTGTGTTGATATTCTGGTTGCTACAATATTCACTTGACTGAATGTCATTTTTAACTCCTCTGATGACCCTTAAGAACCCTAGGGCTGAGATGCATGGTTTCCCAATCAATGCTTCCTCTTGACCATTGATCACATATATTGTTTGACGAGTTGTTTTATTCTTATACTGAATTACACCTTCAAATTTACCTAAAACTGTTAAATACTTCCCTCCAGGTGTTTTTAAAACAATGTTTGATTTAGTCAATAATTTGTTTCTAGCCATTCTTGGAGGCACAATCGTCACGTCGGCTCCACTGTCAATCTTGAAATGTTCCAATTTCCCATCAAGTTTTACATCAATTTCAAATTCATTCTGTTTATTGTAGTTCCTTGTTGTCGCTCTTATTTTCTTAACTTCAGCTCTGTTAATGTAATACCCGTCCTCGCTTCTATTATCCTGTTCCAATCTGTTCTCGGTATTTTCCTGAATTTGATTCAGGGTTGGGTTTCTGTATTTATTGTTCTGATTTCTGTATTTATTATTCTGTCTCTTTTTACAACATCGGCTGAAGTGTCCTTGCAATCCACAGTAGTAGCATTCAATATTCTGAGCAGGACATTCCTCCTTAGGATGCCTCTGTCCTCCACAGTAAAAACAATTAGAAGTATATTGTCTTATGTTTTGTTTCAAGTTCGGATGTTTTTTCACTTGGTCTATTTCTGCAAAATCTTGTTCTCTTGATCTGTTAACAGTAATTTGTTGGTTCTTTATAATTTCACTTTGTTTCAATCTATTTATTGTTTCATGCAAGGTTAGGTCAGCCATCAGTTGAAGTTCCTTAGATAACTTTGAATCTGTTATTCCAACAATGAGTTTATCCCTAATAAGGCTGTCTTTCATGTCTTTGTAATCACATGAAGAAGCTAATTGATGTACATCTGTTATAAAATCGGATATCGGTTCATTTTGCTTTTGTACTCGTTGATTGAATTTCGCTCTCTCATAGGTCAAATTCACCCTTGGTGTAAAATACTTATTAAGTTTTTCCACCACTTTATCATAAGTCTTTTCATCTTCTTCTGTTACTCCTGCTGCTATTAATACATTTTCTGCATTATCACCCATGGATATTATAAGGAAATTTACTTGCTTTTCTCCATCTATTTGATCTAAATTGGTAGCATTTCTGTACCTATTGAACTTTTTTAACCATGGGCCCCAATCTTCTGGTTTAAAGGAGTATTTATCAATGAAGCCCAATGTTGCTGAATGTTGTGTCATTTTAGATGTTTGTCTTCTTACTGTTATATCTGAGTTTTCTGAGTCTGACATTGTAATGCAGCATATATATTAGACACCCTGTTACTCAATTTATTGGGTCTTTACCGCTGCCACCATGTTGTGCCCTTAAATATATTAAATTAAAACCCATTTTGTTAGAGCCACTTCTTTCATTGTATTTAATAACAAAATCCAAAACTTAAAGTAAACATGAAACAATAATATATCAAACCAGATGACAAGCAAATAAACAAACTATTAATGTAGACCTCAGGACAACACTAATACAGCATATCCACTCAAACTAAAAACCTTCGACGAAAACAATACTTTCGCCATACACTATGTATAGGGATAGGGAGAGAAAGTAAAAAGACAATACAAAGACTGTTTTAAAGTAATTTACATCTTGTTTACGCAAGTATGATGTACGTATACCCCTCCCTACTACCCTTATACCACTCATGGAACAAGCCAGACATACTACACGACTCATTTTGTGCACCTTTACTGTTAAAACCAAGAGCAAATGTAAAGCATTGATCTCAATTAGGAAACTAGTGTAAGCCATATGTAAATTTGTGGATTTTTGTACAAGTACAAAGAGAGAATGATTCATAGTAAACTTTACAATCATAAGCGAGTCAGTGGCCATACAATAAATACTCGGTTTACACGTACCCCTCCCATCCTAATTAAATACGCCCTGTACAAATATAAGTGAGTTTAGTTTACACACAATGTTTCTGATCTGCTGGCTGCCGATGTTGTTGTTACAGTTCTGTGTTTGTGTTAGCTTCCAACTGTTTGGCTTACTGATAAGGGCAGAACGTCCTTTTTGAAAGTATAACACTCCAATAAGTAGACGACCTATGTTATAATATTTAACTGCAAACCCTTATAGCAAAACTAGAAGCTATATAATTATTTATTGTAATTACTAATACGATTCTGGTCTAGGTCCTAAGCCTGCTGTGGGTATTAGGAATTTAACCACAACTATATTGTTAATAAAACATGTCATAAACAGTATTTACTAATGTTTAAAAAGTGTTTAAGATAATTAAATAGCAATTTTTTTAAGGTTTCAATGTATATGAAAATGACCTAGGAATATATACATTTTTGTTATTAAAGAATATCTCAATTTAATGGTTAATTTAGTATTATTGTCTATAAGTAGTATACAATATTTTATACTATTTTACACTGTTTTTTTTACGATAAAAACATTTCGTAATTAAAATACAAATCCTTTTAAGGCTGCCCTTCATAAAACTGGGCCATAATACCACTTTTGGATGGAATAGTTTAAGTTGAAACGTTTAGCTCACCTAAATGTTTGGCAGAGCTATGATCGTTTCAAACATAAAACCTTCGGTTTTATAACCCTATTGAACGACCAATTGATTCTAAATCTCTGTAGATACTTGTTTTTGCGTGTTTCTTTGTACGGAAATTGGGAACCTATAACTAAATACTCGTCCCTATAAACACATTATTCTAATGCCCAAGTATCGTTCAGCATAGGTAAGCAACAACAGTTCTACTAAGGTTTAACACCCATGAATAATAAGGTTTTATGGTGTCCTGTTTCTAGATAAAGAGACGATTTTGTTTAAGGAGCTGTTTAGTGTACATCTAGACTTGTAATATATCAATACTCATGCTGTTTACTAGTGGGTCAAACATAATTGTAAGGTTTTCCGAGTTTCTATTTGAATTGAATGACAATTTGCATGAACTTCAATGAACGCAATTAACACAACCTACTATAAAACAAAAGCATGAATAAAAAGAAGAATAAATAGTTTAATAAAGGATTATCAATATTGATTTATGTCAAATTCCTGATAAAAACCTTAGTTAATCAGATCTTTTATTTACGAATGTCAAGCTAGTGTACATGAAATATAAAAATCTCTGCGATATTTTTAAAGATTTGGTTTTTAACCTTACAACCACCACCTTAGTCAACTTTAACCACTTAGTCTTATTTTTTCTCAGCCACTTAGAATATTTAAAGGGTCTTTTGACTCAACGTTCAGACTATCAACTGTAAATACAGTATAGTAAGTTCCTTGAATAATAACTTCGATGAGTAGCATTATAATGAGTTGCTCTATTAATTATTGAGTAGTACAATGTAGTCTACAGTTAAATTATATGTTTAATAAGCTAAGCATGAAACTAGAAAATACTCAGCAAACGAGTTATTGAGAGCAGTTAATATTTACAATCATAAGAATATTTAATTACTACTGTGCAATTGTTACTAAATAAATATAGTAGTTATTTAAATAATTTGTTCGAATAATTTACGTTATCATATTATAACATATTCCAAACCTAAACCAAAGCCACAAAAAAATCTTAATAGGCAAACCTGAAGTTAAAGGAGTGTTAACTTATGCCAAAGAATGTCCAAATTAAAGGTGCTGAAAGAAAGGTTTATTTATTTCTATATTAATATAATTTATTAAATTCCATGTTAATGGCCCGTGGATTACTATATATGACTAATAATTATGATACAATACCTCGTCAAGTAATCTAAATTTTGATGTCAGGTTAACATGTAGGTTTTTAAGTTGACATCAAAATTTAGATTACTTGATGAGGTACCATAATTACCATAATATAAAATACCATAATTGTACCATAATTATTAGTAATATAATTTAATATTGAGCTACCCCATATGAATTGATAAAACTAGAATGAAAATTAAGCTACTTGTAAGCAGTATTTTATTATCTCAACCCTTATCTAAGTTTACTCGTATAATTATTATTTTCTCCTTATATAATTGTTTTTATGTATTAAAATTCAAGAATAACAAAAAGTTACCACTCTCAAAAATTCGTTGTAATTTAAAAACCCGAAATCTTGTATTACAACCCATACAACGAATAAAAACACTACGTAAAATATACAATCTATTGAGACCCATTCATAAGGCGTTGTTCAGTATGAAAATACCATTACGATTGTAGACATTCTATTATTCCTATCACTTAAAACAAGCGATGTTATTGCAGATAAGATATGGGTGAAAATGTTATAAAACCAAATAAGCTCAAACTGTTAGGAGAGATTTATTTGGTTTAAATTTTTGTAGAAAACAACTCAGAAACGTTATATAATTCAAACAGTCAGAACCGTGAAAGACTTCGTCACTTAAATGTATTTCAGAAGAAGTTGGCGCTTGCCTGGCCGTGACGGCTGACAAATACCTGTGTAGAAACATGTTTAATAGTTTATACAATTTATCAAACCTGTCGTAATACTTCAGTGTTTTCTTTTGATTTTATAAAAATAATATCGAATACAAATTTCTAGAGCTTAGGATAGGATCAAAAGTATATGATATATTTAAGATCAACCGTTATCAAGTTAACTGTGGCAAACCATTTTTATAGCCACGAACAATGTTACTGATGAAGTCCTACTTTAAATATAAAAACCGTTATTTTAAATAGATTATTTTTCGTTTAAAAACCTCACCTTTCAGTGATTTAGTTTAGCACTTTACCTAGATCAAAGGAAGACTTATTTATACATTAATTTATTAGTTCTACTAAAATTATTACCTAATTTGTTGTTAGGTATGTTATATTTTATTAAATGAATGTTTACAACAGACTGATACAAAACATCGATTCAAACCTGACTTCCACATTAACTCTGAATACCTCTATTACAACAATCGTAAATCATTTTAGTATTTTGTGGTCATGCCCGTCGCAAATTCACAGTTTGTATACTTTCAATGCTCATAAACAAAGGCATCAATTTTCAATAGGTTTACTCCCTAATTAATTATCTGTAAAATGCTTGTCTACGAATTGAATGTTTTGGAAGCTTTATATGTTTTGCTTGCGATTATACACCATGTAGTGCCTTTAAAAAGTTACTTTATCATATGCGTTAACTGGAATCTTATTACTTACCTATCTTACTCGCTTGATGGTAACTAAATAATCAAACAAACATCTTTGAGACTGGCTGGGTTTGTCAACAATGTTTGTATTGTCAATTTGACCTCAGGAGATTCATGAAGACTAGATTGTGATCTCTTCAGCTATTTAATTTGAGTAACAACTCGGGCCCAATCACGGGAATTGTCTTTAAATCTAATTTACTTGACTTGATTGCTTCCCCAGATGCACCTAGGTCCCAGCAAATCTGTTTATATATTTCCGGTCAAGACCCAAAATTACTTTAAGCAATTATTTGAAGAGGTTAAATCTATTAAAAGATCTAGGATTAATTATATTTAAATCTGCAGATAATGCTGATAGAATAATAAATCGGGTTTAGTCATTGGCTACAAGTATTTTGTAGCTTGATGAAAACTACATCTACAGTATACAAAAATGTGTATGTCTTTATTTATTTAAAAAAGATTTATGTTGATATTTATGTATAACTATAATCGTTACATTGAATTCAAAAACACGGAAACCCTTTTTAACCGGTTAAAAATATATTGTTATTCCTTTGCTGGGTGTTGATTTTTTTTTATTAAGACAAAATACTTGCAGACACATAACGATACAGGAAGTTTAGCACAATTTTAAAAGACTTCCACCGTTGTCACAATGATTTCTCTCTAGCCCTCATAGGTTGAAGGAATGTGTAGACATATTTTATTTTCATTTATTTTTTACAATGTTCTCTTTTGATAGCTCTTGTTGCTTTATTTGATCGATTATTTTTCAATCAATTGAAACGTTGATTATTGTATTTTAAAACGTATAACTTTATTTAACTTTAAAATGGTTTATATAGTTATAAACTATTCACGTATTTGTATTATTTATGAGTTGAATGCATTTCAAGAAAACCAGGATAAATTAGCAAACCTTTCCTACCCAATTGTTCACTCTTCATTAGGTTTTAATGCAAGTGGACACTTTCATCGATTCTTTCATTGAATTCCAAGTTGGAAAATCCGTATTTTAAATCAACTATTAGTTTTTGTATGATACTAGTTAACTAATAAATCACAATCGAAGTACTGTATTACTAATAAGTAACACATGACT